TTTAGTTCTTTAACACATATAGTGTGTTTACTCTATTTATAGTTTATTTCTATATAGTTTAATACTACGTATATTTAGTATTTCTTTTTTATTATTTTATTTACGGTATTATTATCTTGTATCTATAAAGTTAGTAGAAAAATCTTTTTTTTTTTTTTAATTTCATCCTAGCTCTAGATGTCTGACGGGATGATAATACGTTATATTAATTATAACTAGTATAAATATTTATTTATAGATTTCGTTTATTTATATAACTAGTTTTTGTTTAGTTAATTTTCTATATTATTTATTCCCTACTAACTATAATACTTATTAGTATTTATATATTTTATTTCTTAAAATAACTTTCTAGTATTTAGTGACATAATATTCTCTTAAATAGTACTTTAATTTATATATTTAATAATATTCTTAGTGTACTTATTATATAATTATTATAAACATAAGTTCTTTTCTATTTTTTATTTTATAATTTCTTTATTATCAAAATTTCTAATTCTCCTTTTTAAAGGTTTTTTTTTGTTCTATAATTTTATAAAACCTTTATATCTCTTTATAACTTTTAGTGTTATGTTTTTGTATTACTATTTCTTATATTATAAAGATTATATTACTAGTTAGTTCTACTAAATAATTCTTTACTTATTAGTATAATATTTTATATTTTATCTTAAGGTGTATATAGCCTTTATATATTTAATATTATTCTTTTCTTATTCTTTATATAATAGTTTTTTTTAGTAATTAGGTCTTATACTTACTTTACTTAGACTATAGTTATTTTAATTTTTTTTAGTACTTTAGTTTAAACATAAGCTTTCTTAATATCTACTTATTATTATTTATAGTCTTTAATAAAATATCTCTATTTTTTATATTCTAGGTAAGCTTTTTATATATAGTGTTTTATTTATTCTTAGGCTTACTTTCCTTACTTTTTATTAATAAATATTTTATTATAATTAATATCCATTTTATTATATATTTAGGTATTCTTTTTATTTCTTTTTAATATATAAATTATTAGTCTTCTATGTACTTTTTTCTCTTACTCTTGTTAATACTAATAATTATTAATAGTTACTACTTATTTAATAATTTTAAGCAGTGTATTTAGTTATTTATTTCTAAAGATTTTATTTTTAATTTAATCTTTTAATTCTTTATAGTATATTATAACTAATAGTTAATTAATTTAGTTAAGTTATAATTAAATTTATTTAAACTCTATTATATAATTAGTTACTAACGTTTATTGCTTGAGTTATTAAAGCTTTTAAATTACCTTTAATTTTTTATTAATTTTTCTAAAAACTATAATTATTTTCTTTTTAAAGCTTTCGTAATCCTTAAAGGCTTATTATATATTATTATTATAATTTATAAGTCCTTCTACTCTTAAGTTGGAGTTTTTATTTATTAAATAGTTTTTTATAAATAGTTTAAACTATTTTATAGCTTTTCCTGTTATGCTTATACTAGCTACTAAAATCTAATCTTAATCTATTATAAATAATACTTAATTAAATTAATAGTAAAAGTTTATTATTATTATAAAGATCTTAAGTTTATCTCTATTACTATTAAATTTTATAGAAGATTATATTTTTACTATTTTCTTTTTTATAGCTTTTTTTATTATTACTTGTTATTATAAGTTAATTAGGGTATTACATAACTCTATAATAGCTATTTCTTATTTTTAGATAATTTAGTATACACTTTTCTGCTCTCTAGATATACTTTTAGTTATAAATAAAGATTTTACTATAATTTCTTCTTTACTACTACTTTCTTTTAATAAGTAAAGTTTTTATTTATTCTTATAATAAGTCATTATAAATCTTATTTAGATAATATAGTGTTAGAATCTATCCAACAGCTTCTTTTACCTTTTTAGGATAGATAATTATAATATTACAAGTTACTAACTTATTAATATAATGTTAAACTAGTAACTAGTTGTTTAACTAACTATATAACGTTAATTAGTTCCCTCACTTCTGGATTAGATAGCTTGTTAGACTTAGTAGAAATAGATTTAACTTAGTTAAGATAGAAAGAAGTAGATACAGTAAGTTGAGATTTAATAGGATAGTATTAAACTATTTTACTTAAGGCGTGAATCTTAATTTTAGAGTAACTATGAAGAATTAAAAGTAACCGTGAACCGTCTAACGTCCCATACTTATAGTAGATCCTCCGTGCGTACATTGTATACTAACTGGAAGTATGTTAGATACTGCTAGAGAAGATGAGGGAAGATGAGAACTTATCTTTCTTATTAGCACTTATCTGGTTCCTGCCCCGCCATAGTGTATCACCTGACTTGCTTACCTACTCCGGATGCTGTTTCCTATAGAACTTGAACTTACTTTAGAGCAATCCCATCTGCAGGTTCTGTCTTCGCTAATTTGCTTCTGCTCACCAGCATCGCTTACATATCTCTTCATACTATGCCTTCCACAACAACGCCTCCCCATCTGCAGTTACCTCATTGTTACAGTTCGTAATAAATACATAAAATTTCGGTGTTCGTTCGGTAGGCCTTTGCGTCAGACGGGGAAAAAACTGTAAGCAATTTGTTACCCGGCTCAACTTCGGCTCAGCCTCTGCTCACGCTGTATAGCTGCAGCTTGGAAGAGTCGTCCTCTACTCACCTAGAAGTCTTCTGGTTAGTGTGCACGGCTGGTTAGCGTGCACGCTTAGTTATCCACATCACCACCTCAAAAATTAAGGTTATTCGCAATCAAAGAATCGTCAAAATCGCTTCAATTATGGTGTAATAGGAAATCGAGATTGGTGAGTTAGCCTATCTTAATTATATTGTCTCTAAAGCGAGCAGGAAGCTTCTTCACGCGGCTTGGGCGAGATAAAGGGAGATCCACCTCTGGAGGACTATCTTTCTCACCCACATCCAAAAGAGATTCTGTAATAGTAGTAATTGCGGTAGATTTCTTCTTCCCCTTACCCTGCATCAATTTCAGGTTGTTTTTAAGTTGCTTTTTAGCTTTTTTAGCGTACAGAGCTTCCTTGTGTGTAAGCCTTTTCTTCTCCTGTTCCATCTCACGCTGGATCTCCTTTTGGATCTTCGCAGCCTTACGTTCTTGCTTTCTCTGCTTAATAGCAAGTCTCTCTTGCTCCTTGGCTATTACCTTGAGTTGTTTTTCTGTTTCCTTTCTTGCCTGTTCCTGAAGAACAGCCTGTTCCCTCTTAGTTTAAAGGTCACATGCAAGGGACACCTTTTGGGGGCTGAGAAAGAGGCAATTACCTTTATCTACTGCTTAAAGCTCTTTAAATAAGCCCTTCTTGCGTGCACGCTTCTTCTTTTCACTTTTTAGGGCAAGCTTAAGCCCTTCTACTTTGTTTCTTAGCAAGTTCTTTGCATCCGCTAGTTCCTATATTATTGATCGGAGCTGCTTCCCTTCCTGACTAGTCCTTGAGGTTATAGCATTAAGTAGCTTCCGGATCTTCTTTGTATCTCTTGCTGATAAAGGCACAATCGGTTCCTGCTGTGGAGGAGGTGTAGGGACCTGTTTTGTGTGCTTTCTTGGCTGAGGGTTAAGAATTACCTTAGGAGCGAAGGGATGTAAGCCAGTTCTCTGCCATCCACTAAATACATTGTCTTTTGTAAAGGCTTTATTAAAGGTAACCTAAAAGAACCTAAAGAAGTCCCGTTTGGTGATACTAATAAGTCCTTGCGTCTAATGTACGTACTGCGTCACTTCTTGAGTGTAATAATCTAATAGTGGCTGGAATAGCCCTACATCAAGTGGCTGAAGCGTATGAGTCGAGTGAGAAGGGAAAATAAGGATTATAATATAATAGGCAATCTCCTAATTAATGAATCGTATATTAATATGAGATTTATGGCCGTTAACAATTAGTAAGCGCTAGTCCCTCCCATTTCTTGCCTTTAGCTTTGAGTAACGATCAAACACCTTTGTTAGCTACTTAAATCCTAGGTTGTTGTTTGTCCAGCTAGTAGGAGATGCAGCGAAGAAGGCCTCTTGAGATAAAGGTTCATAATCCTGGAGCCATGAGTTCTGTACATCCCCTGATTGGCCCTTGTAAATAAGCGCTGGTGGAAGGTAAGACCTATCTGCATAAATTAAGGCTAATACTGTAATCTAATCCCTATTCCTATTTTACCCAGCACTCTTAAGCTTTCCTAACTTGTAATCTAACCTGCAGTAGATTCTTTTCAGCTTATTTAGTACCCCAATAAGAAAGCCTTTCTCATTCATATTGTATATATTATATGGCTGGATGTCGTATTTAGCGATCTTTTTCTTTATAAAATTAAAGTATCGACTGTACAGAAAGTTATTGTCAGCTTTTATACACTGTAAGTCGATTGGCGTGAGATAGGAAGACCCTAAGACATCTGAGTGTTTCTTTCACTAATCAGTAACAAAATCCTTATGAACCCAATGTCCTGCAAGGTCGTGGATGAAGTTCGCCACCATTGTATTCATCGGTGAAAGGCTCATCACTGTCAGCTTCTGTATGTAAGAGATGAGATTGTTTTCTTGCTCCTTAGTAAGAATACTAATGGATTCAATATAGGCCTCGCGGGAGACGGTAACACCTCGGTGGCGGCGCGACAGCGTAGATCGATCGACATTGTACTTTTTTGCAGTTGCAGAATAATTTGGATAATCTTGCAATTCTAAATCAGCAAGCGCGGCCTCAATAGCGTTCATTTTGGTGGCGGGAGGTTGATTTGAAGATAGACGAATTTTGATGTTTTGTGTGCACGCTGGCGGGCCGTGCACGCTAACCAGAAGACTTCTACTGCTCAACCTCCACCCAAGTGCTGCTCAGGCTTGTAAAGCGTTCAAACTTAAATCCGTCGTCCATTGATCAGCTCACTCGAAAATATTAAGCCCACACATTACGAACCACAAGAGGAAGCATAAGCTTACGCTTCTTCCTTTCTTACCTGTTCCATAAGAACAGTCCTCTTAGTTCGAAGATCACGTGCGAGGGACACCTTTGGGACTGACAAAAAGGGCCTAAATTTTCAGGTTGAAATTTGATTTCTATCTAGTACCAACAGTTGAGCGATCATCTATCTTCCCAATCAAGAATCGGAAAATAACCCCTCGAAAGCTAGCCAGAGGGTTGCATATTTTCCAGGTTGCCAATCGATTCCGACTGTTCACGCTGTTCAATGACCTTCTCCAGCCTCTGCTGAATAGTCTTCTTCAGCTCTTCCAGCGTCCCTACAAGCACAATCTTGCGCCTATGACAAACCATCTGAACATTGTCCCTCTTCCAAAATCCCTAGGGACACAACACCACAAACTTTCCATCACCGCCATGTAGACCCAGCTCGAGCAGACTGATCGGAGACACTGTGCCCGGCTACAGAAACAGTGCAATAATGTCCGCTTTCTCAAGATGGTCCATTTCCCAATCGACTTGCTCCTTGAAGTGCGGATTCGAGGTGTCTTGCTCCCAGCTCTTGTCCTAGATATCACGGCGGGGGTTGAGAACCGTGACCGGGAGGTGCCGCAGAGCAGCTGTAATGTCGGTTTGCCAGTCGATAGCAGCTCCCATTTCGATGCTGCCGGCGGGGGAGATGGTTGCTCCCTTGATTTTGGGCCAGGTTGGAGGCTTGCAGACGACGAATTTGATGTTGGATGTTGAGGCAGACATTGCTCCGATTTCGACGAAGTAAACGCTCTCGGAAGTGTCTGTAGATGACGTAATGTACTAATTAGACGAAGTGAGACTGTATATACCGTCAAGCGTTGTGTATAAAACTGATGTGAGGTAAGAGTTATCCGGTGGATCCGGGCCCTTTTATCTTCACATTCTCTGCACCCTTTTATTTTACACTGTAGGCAGCAAAAAAAGACGCCTGAGTCGGCTCCGTCCTTGTCCCGCTGCGCCTCAACAATGGGCCTTGCTTTCCTGTGCTTTGTCTATCCACAGCAAACCCTAAAGGTATGATAAATCCAGCAACGCGTGACATTGCTGCGCCTACAAATGCAAAAGGAATGCCATGGAATTGTGCCATCCATTCAGCCCCGAGGCCTCGCGATACGGGAAACCCCTTCCATGGAAGCGCCTAACATCCAAGGAGAGTAGCAGCTGACTCTGCCTCGCCTCGTACAACAAGAGAATGACGTTCATTCAAGCCGTGTCGTTGTGCGATGTGGCAAGGCAGCGATTTCTTCCCCACCGCAATTTATGGCTCTGGCTTAGTCGCTGGAACAGCAACTCACGGCAGAGTGGATAGGGGTATCAAATGCATAAACCGGAGAGTACATGCCGCTCTAGGCAAGGTATGTGACCCAAACCTAGCGGCCCTCTTGATTCCCCGACCAGTGTATCGCGGACCAACCAGTTCAGGGGGTAAGGACACCTAGGATGTGTCCTATGCGGCAGGGTCCATCATCCTCTGTGATGCTACCTATAGTGTCAGTATGGGGCATCTCCCCTTTCCTCACCCATACCGTTCCCGCACTTCGCCAATAAACGTGCCATCACATTCATCCGGCCGTCACGATGTCCAGGCACCCTTCAGCAAAGCAATAATCATGCCGAACTTCATGCAGCCGAAGAGCTCGTAAACATGCCGTCCGCAATTTCTTTCTACTCGCCGCAAAGTGAATCATGCCACCTATCTTGACCTTGCCTCAGACTCAGACAAGATTACGGCGTTGAGGGAGATTTTCCTCACCAAACGGGACATTATCGTCATAAGCGCCGCCTGCATGCCCGTAAATGCGGGCAGTGAGTCTCTCCTTTGAGATGTTAGGGAGCAGGAAGCTAACTGGCGTGTCTTGCAGTCTCAGACTTCCGCACCTCTTCCGGTAATAAAACGTCCAGTCGTCACCTCTTTGACATAAATACGTATAACTCCGATGAACCTACCAGCGACTCTCATCGCTTGATCCGGGAGATATCTCTATGGGCGTCTCGAGCCAAACCTACGTTCTTTCATTATTATCTGAACGATCTTGCAAAGGACCTACGCCTCCTTCGATTGTACGATCAGAATGTCGATTCCCTAAGTTTCCACACCATGGTACCGGCACTGTGGGCGAGGACGGTGGCGCTCCACGGCCGTTTGGACACCGCTATCTGCCAGCAGTGCGGATACCATGCCACATTTATTCCTGAGCAGTTCTGTGGGAAGAAACCGCCTTGGTGTGAAGAGTGCCCCGGAATTCGAGAGGAAGAAAACAGGTCTAGAGAGACCTGCAAAGCTGCAAAGGATTTTCGAGAGTGGGTTCACGGCAGCTTCAATGCTTGTATATCTATATCAACGATACGGCCAAGTTCAGCGTCAAGGACGTATTCATCAGATTCCCTATATTGTACAAGATCGGAGAGTCGCCGTATCTTCGTAACGTGGAGGAGAAGCTACGCTGTGAGGTCACTACCTACATCTGGACTGAGAGCAGCTGTCCCGATACTATAATACTATGTCCGGGAGGGTTCGGCTTTCCTCACGGTCAGAGTGTATATCTTCATGTTCTTACGCCATTGTCTCCCCAACTCCTCCTTTCCCCTCCTTCCGGCTCTTCCGCTCGTCTCCTTCCTTACACACTACGACCAGCAAAGCATTGATAAAGTACCCGAAAGCAGACATGGACGACTTAGAACTTGAAGATGACGGACCGCTTCTCTCCAACATCACCGTCAACCTCACACGGCACCACTGGCGAAATTGTATGTCCCTCATATGCCAGAGGGCGCTTTCCATCCGGCGTCCAGGTGCTTGTGACGTACAACCAACTTCTCCCACTATCTCTGCATCAACTTCGTAGTGTGTCTCGCACGAAACGCCGCTGCATTGCACAGTCCGATTGGAATCGAATCCGGCCGGAGGCTGGTATCGAGGAATATGGCCCTGGCAGTAGCTGAGCTATGGCAGTGTCCATTCGCTGGCAGAGAGGTTTCCAACCACGAACTCCTGAGAAATTCTGCCTTGCCTACCTAGCCTCTCTTGGAACGGGAAATCATGCGCGTTTGGGTATAAAGCATGAGCGTCTCCCTCAGCCCATCAAACTGTCGCCCCTCCTTCCTCCCACAGCTCTCTGGTGACGACCGCAGTTCTCCAGCATATCAAAACGGCTAAGCAATGCCCTTCACAAAGCAAATCCCATACCTCGCGTTACCAGCCATACAAAACCACTAGTGCAATAATAGGAAAGGCCGGACATAGCCATGTTGGGCCACTACACAAGCCCTCAGCAGTGAGGACTTGGTGGATTAGAAATGGTGAGAAAGAAACTTGCTACGAAAATAACATCGTCATTATTAGCGGAGCTGGTATTTCCACGAATGCAGGCAGTAGTTCTCAATTCATTTGTTCCGAAACAGTGGTGTTCTGATCAGAGTTTGTAACAGTCGACGACCTTCTAACAGTCGACGACCTTCGCAGTTCGTCCGGAACTAAGATGTCTAGCCGCAGAATATTCGACTCATCGGCCTACTCCATGCCAGATTTTGCCACTCAGTTGCATTCTATTATGCTGAAGATGTTCGAATCCGCCTCAAAATCCAAGTTTACGCCGTTCGAACACTTTATGGAGGATCTCGCTCAATGCTGCCGCATCCAGCGCCACTATACCAGAACATCGACTACCGCAGTGCAAGTGTCCCTTCGTTATCTCAGAAGACTATTTGGCCCCACGGCCGGCTGGACGCAATGATGTGTCGCAGGTACTCGCAGCGTACAGTGCAGGTTACACGGCAATCCTTTCAGCAACGGGCAACCGCTTCATGTCCAAAGAGCGAAGAAGACGACTAGGAGCAAGTCAAGATGGGTAAACGATCACGCAGTGTGGGCTTCCTTCGACCCAAGGTGCTCCTTTATGGAGAGTCCTCTCCAGATGAATCTGAGATCACGGACGCATTTAAGCATGATCTGCGACAGCCTGTTGATGCTGTCATAATTGTGGGAACAAGGCTACTGATTCCTTCTTTGAGAAGATTTGTTGAACGTCTTTGTCAAGAAGCGAAATCAGAAGGCAGGGAAAGCATTACTATGTGGGTGAACAAAGAGCCGCCAAAGTTGGCCAGACGTTCGAGTCCGTCATCGATTACCAAATCTTTGGAGATTGTGACAGTCTTGCTTGTAACAGAGCGTGGTGGAATGAAAATCATGGCCAACCTCCTGCATTGAAAACTATGGATGACTATCCTACTTAAATAATGAGCTTTGCAAATATCGATAAGATGATCGACAGGAGACAATCGACAGGAGATATCGTCAGGAGAGGATCATCAGGAGAGGATCAACGGGAGAGGGTCAACAGGAGAGCTCAGTTATACAAGCAGTGGTGCTACCTGAGAGGCCAGCAGTCGGTGACATTGCTTCATTAGTCTCAACCTAGATAATAGGTTTTATGTATATCCTCATTAACTGCCTCCAAAATTGAATTGTAGCAATAACAAGGCAACCTCTTGCCTCGTTTTGGTTTTAGATATTTTGACATCTAATTGGCCCATCCATATGCGGCGAACCATTTACTGCATCAAGTGCCAAGATTGCCAAGGCAAGACCCCAAGTTCGAGCGCACAACTTAAATCCAGCGTCACCTCCCGCTACAAAGATGTTTCGTGCCTTACCATCGCCCGCCCAAGTTCGTACGACTCTAAATCCGGTACGAAATGACATGGGAGGTCTTTGACTATGATTACTTTGCAGAGCAACGCTAGCCGGATCCAGAAGTTCTCAAACCGACGGATCATATCATGTGCAGGGAAAATCATCATTTTCAGCCCGAACCAAATAGGCCCTAGGTTTGCAAGAGGTCCATGTCCAGGTACTATATCACATATTAAACTTTCGGCTTGCGGGGAAATAACAACGGCCACTACCGCCTTAAGCAGCAAGTCATTTTGTGGGGGAATTACTAATGACTGAAGAATTGGTTGTAGAGGCTCGGATTATTACTCTTCTGGGCTGGAGAACGAAATATGACTTCGGCTCGTGGAATTCGGAACCTAACGTAGAGATGCCGACCTCCCACAGAGTTGGTTGGAAAACATGCCCCAGAGCATTGAGAAGGTAAGCTGTCTCTGGCTGCGGAATTTTTCCGATCTGCATCATAGTTTGGTGGGAGTGGGCATGAATTGAAATCATTGAATCTTGGCTCGGGGTCGCTTAAACAATGAGAACACAAAAGCCAAAAGAGTGATGATGGAATGGAAACTCGACGGACTACTACAATTAAGGTGAAAGTAAAATATTTAGGCGGATTGCCTCGAGATTGCTTGCGCTGCTGTGTTAAACGGACAAATGCAGGTCATGGCATTAGCTTAATTAAGAATATCATCTATTCAGTGCTCGGTTAGAGGTATTTGACCGAGTTGTTCTAATAGAAGGTTATGTCCGGCCGATCATGCACGAAAAGGTACGAAAAGGAACGATTAGCCAGGCATCATCCTATAAATGGATAGCCCATGACAGCTTGGTTAATCGGAGGATACAAACGAATATGGAGCATGGTTCGATTATGAACAAATAAACCTACAGGAGATAAGCCTCGACAACGACGGGCATCAGAGGAATCCAGTACAGAGGTAAGTATATAATTTGTCCCGGCTGTTGCGTGCTTTTGAAGACCACGAGCGTATCGATCTCATACTCATTCTTTCTTTCTTTCTCATCAAAACAGGCTACTAGATCACCAAAGCAACGGCATCTTCCACAATGAAAACCTTACCCAGCGTCTTCCTCCTTGTTGTCGCTGTCACCGCGGCGCCCGGCAGACAGCTCTTTAAGCGTCAATGTCACGCTGATGGCGGTAAGATGCGTCCTTCTCGATGTGCATTTCT